CATCCATTGCCACTTGCTAGTTGAATTTCTAAATAAATTGTAACAAAGTCATACAAAAGAAACAGAACTATTAAAATGGATACTTGAGCTGTGCTGTGTCTTCTGAGAAGATCTGCACTGGGCTCTGATCCAAGCTATATTTAATTAGCTACTGTTGGGAGGCAGAGTGCTCTGAATATCTAAGTTTTACACAAATAACACACAAAAGAACTAGACACTTATCGGTTTAGAGGGCAGAGACGTATTGTGGATTAAATACATTCATCCTTGAGAAAATATAGCCACAAACTTGTTCTGATGTGAATTAGATCAAAAGTCTTCAAGCATTTCATTTCAAAATTAGATTGTTGTTTGACAAAGTAATACGAAAAGTAAAAACTTGTGATTTAACAAAAGTAGGGATGAAACATTGTGTGACAAAATTTATCACATTATGGTGACATTTAACAAATTGGTCAAGAAAAACAGCTAGAAAATCTCACATTATATAAAGAAATGTGTCAAGAATTTCCGACAAACCAGGGCAAAGAACTGACAAAATACATGAAGAGAACAGTCGGATACGAAGTCGTACAATGACTAAGTAAACTGGTAATTTCTTTGGGTCCTTGAGCATGAATGGGAGGTGCTCAAATTAAAAGCGTTAAATTGAAAGGTTGATTGAGACTGTTCAAAGACTTCCTTCAAAAGTGGTACGACTGGCAAAGTCAATTATGACATTCTGTTTATAACCTCTCTGATGCGCAGAATTTTGATACACCATAACCCTCCTCCTGGTGAAGCGAAGCATGCAATGTAGTTGGAGCTTGAAAACGGTGCGTAATCACAATGCGTAACGAATAGACACTATCACGTAGGCCACGGCAGCGGCGCAGCACTTTGTACACTTCACTTTATTAGAGGCACCCAAGCCCAAAACACAGGACCTCCGGTGGGTCCTTCGCACTTGGGTATCCGAGCACATCTCTCTCTCTGGAAGCTTGATGAATGTGACTTGTATGAAGTATGAGGCCAAAAGGACCTTAATCCGTCTGCTTGTTCATCCGTGCCAATCCCGAGTCGTGTCCTGAATCATGATCCTGGAGGAGGCGCCACGAAGTCCTGGAGGGTGCCTGGCCGGTCAAGCCGGGCAGACGCCGGGCATCCTCGGCTTGTTGGGGCCCCGTTGGGGCTGAACTGAAGTCCTGCGGGTTCTTGTTCAACTTGAGAAGCACAGCCTGTCAAGTTCCTTACCTTTTTCTGCTGTTTCTCCCAAGCCGGGTCGAGGAGTCCTTCGCGCTCCCATTCTTCCTCGGGCTCCATGTATCCATCACTGTAATGATTTTCTATGTTGTTCATTCCGTGGTCGTTCATCTTCGAATAATTTTGTAAGTTAACTTTTCACCGAGAGAAAAAGCTCGTCGGGTCGAAGGCCCCCCGTTCACGACAGAAAAATCGAGGCAGAGCGTTGCTGCCGCTCGCTCACCGCACAAAACCCACCGCCGGGGTACCACTTGAAACTTGTGCGCCTGAACCGCTCGCCGCTCGCTTTACCCCTCCCCTTCCACCCTGTTCCACCGTTCCACCCCCCGCCACCCCTCTCCTCTACCCGCACCTCCGTCCCCCACCCTCACACCGCGGCGGCAGACCCCCGCTGACCCCCACCCACCCCTTCCCCTTGGTCCACCGCTGTCACGTGACTATCCCAAACAAACTGCCTCACCCCCCCTCCCCCCTCTCACCTCCCAAGACTTGTTCTCTCCCCTCCTTTCCTCCTGAGGCAAGGCAAAAGTATTTTCAGCGCGAATGGACATTGTTTTCGGGGAGTGCTACAGAGATTTGTATCGGAAATTGAAATAAATTCAGCGGCAGGATTATGCGCTCATAACTTGCAAGAGAATACCACGCCATTTCATTTAACGGCGACACTCGTTTCCCCCTCCGCTGCCGTTCGCCCCCCTCTCTCGCCGGTATCGGCACCACCGGTTGGCGCGAAAAAGTAGCCCTTGTTCGTTGAAAGTGGATCAGTGTGATCATGTCTGTGCTACGTTCTTGTTCCACGATGTTCTCTTAGATCCAGTGTTTCACGTTGATATGTCCCTAGTATTTGTCCACTCTCTGAATTATTGAAAGCACGCTGTTTTGTTGTCAAGATGTACATTCAAATCAAAACCGCCGACTGCTCCCAAAGCAAGAGAGTGGAGGTGTCTAAACTAACCTCTGTGGAAGAACTTAAATCCCTTGTCAAGGAGGTTTTGGACGTGAAACCCGACAGACAAAGGTTGTTCTTCAGAGGCAAACAGGTAACTTAGTTTTATGTATATTTCTTCTGCACTTTTCTGATAAAACATTTGTAGCAGTTTGCCTCACCCTTTTCTCTACAATGTAGTAGGAGTACCTTTTAATGCTGATGCTTACCAAAATTTTATTTCTATGCTATCTGCTCACTCTTTAGCTTGAAGATGGCTACAAAGTTTTTGATTACAACATCAATCTCAATGATGTTGTTATGCTGATGATAAAACCAGATCTCTCTGCATTTCAACATTCCAAACCAGAAGAGAAAAAGGAGAACGAGTCTGACAAGGCTTCAACGTCCCAAGAAGTTGTGAGTTAGATCATGTTTTACTACAATTGTTCTTTAATTTTGCTTCCTATTCTCTGCTGTGTTGAACTTAAAAGGTAGGAGTCTAATGAAGTTTTTTTTAAAATTTCAGGTGGAGAGTAAATATTACAAAGTAAGATTTTCTGCAGTATTCCATTTTAGTTTGTATGAATGCACTCCCATGTACTTACATCTTCTATTATATTGCAGGTAGGAGATCTAGTTGAAGCTATAGATGACCTGTATGGCGGGTGGTTTGAAGGTAAAATTGTGGGCATTGAGAAAAATACAGAACCTCTCACAGACACTGTATCAGAACTAGCTGGGGATAAAGAAGAATCTGAAAAATCAGAAGAAGAAAAGAGATCAGCCCAGAACTATGCAGAAGATCCAGCTCTTCAAGATGATGGATTGTTATACAAAGTTTCATTTGATTTGTGAGTATTAGGTTTTTTGGTTATTGTATGGGTATTTCTTAGTATCTCTGCTCTCTTGTAACTGTTTTATTATTTTTTCGGTCAGCTGCTCAGATGATCCACCCATTGGCTTTCCATTGAAAAATGTGCGACCCCGAATGTGTTCAACTATTAAATTATCTGACATCAAAGTTGGTGATATGGTCCTTGTTAACTACAATATTGAATCACCCACTGAGAGAGGGTTTTGGTATGTTTTGTCCAACATTCCAAGATGAAATGTATTAGCTACTAGTTCTCAAGACTTACTCTCTTTACAGGTACGACATGATTGTAACTGAAGTGACAAACAAGAGAGCAACAAGACGCTTGATTGGAACATTGTATGTTGGAAGACAACGAACTGAACTCAGAAACTGTCAAATACTTTTCACAGATGAAGTTGTCAAAATTCTGAAGCCAAAGCTAATATCTGAAAGAACCAAAGAAGATGATATATCGATGTCAACTAATAATGATACGAAACGTTAGTATTTATTTATTAAATACTGGAGTTGCTAGATTGTTGCACTAAATTTTGATGTGTGGTATGTTCAATCTAATCTTATTTTATTATGTTTTCCCTCTCTAGGTAAAAGTGCTCCTTTTTGCGCAACCTGCCAGGATAATCCCAAGCGAAAGTGCAAAGACTGCTCTTGTCAAGTTTGTGGAGGAAAAGATGAGCCAGATCGTCAACTCATGTGTGATGAATGTGATATGGCATTCCACTTGCGGTGTCTTAATCCTCCACTGGATGCCATACCCGATATAGATGAATGGTTTGTAATTGAGCTTGTGTGCTGTTAAATATTTTGAGTAGAAATATTTTTAGTGCATATTTCTTATGGTGAGTAATTTATACAGTTTGCTCTCATTCTTCATAGGTACTGCCCCCTCTGCAAAAATGATGAGAATGAGATTGTTAAAGCTGGTGATAAACTCAAAGAGAGTAAGAAGAAAAAAAAATTACCCAGTGCAAAAGAAGATAAAACGAAAAGGGATTGGGGAAAAGGCATGGCCTGCGCAGGCAGAACAAAAGAATGTACCATAGTACCTCCGAATCATTTTGGCCCTATTCCAGGAGTAGATGTTGGCACATGCTGGAAGTTCCGGCTTAATGTATGGATTTCAGGTTTATATTGATTTTATTTAATTTGGTGAGGCCTTAATCCCTATTTTCTATGCAGGCATCTGAGGCTGGTGTACATAGACCTCCTGTTTCTGGTATTCATGGCAGGGACAGCGAAGGAGCATACAGTATTGTTCTTAGTGGAGGATATGAAGATGATGTGGACAATGGAGAGGAGTTTTACTACACTGGATCTGGTGGACGAGATCTGTCAGGAAACAAGCGCACCTCAGAGCAATGTTGTGATCAAACACTGACACGGATGAACTTGTATGTTGACTAAATATTTATCTATCTGTGTCATCTTTCAATTTGTCAGTAATATTATTATATCAATCTCTAGGGCTCTAGCTATGAATTGCAATGCTCCTGTCAACAAAGAAAAAGGTGCTGAGGCTAAGGATTGGAAAGGTGGAAAGCCAGTTCGGGTCCTTAGGAATTATAAATTAGCTAAACATTCCAAATATGCTCCTGAGGAAGGCAATAGGCAAGTTCTCCTTAATTTTTCGCAATCTCCCTATTACCTTTAACTCACTGTTTGGCCAACTACTCAAACAATTTAAAAATTTAAAACTTGTTTATTTTTCTTTTAAATTTCTGTAGGTATGATGGAATTTACAAAATTGTCAAGTATTATCCTGAAAAAGGAGAGTCTGGATTCATTGTCTGGCGCTACCTTCTAAGACGTGATGACCCTGCACCTGCTCCATGGACCAAAGAGGGCAAAAAGAACATCGAGAGGCTTGGATTAACAATGACAGTACGTACCTTAGTTCAGCAACGCAGCATAAGCAATATTTACACTCTTTCATCATTTCATTTCCTGCAAAAGTTGTAGATGGTGTAGAGACTAGGACTTGCTACACATTTCTTTGTAAATGTGTATAACCTAACCTAACAAAAAGTCAATTTTTGTTTTATGCTCTTTTTTCGAGACTGAAAAATGAGAGTATACAAGTCTTTTCTCAGCTTGCTCTGCTCTGACATGCAATTTGAGCAAATTGTTATTTGTTTCAAGCTGCTCATTGCTGTCAATCTGAGGAGTATGCAGTCTACCATCTTAGAACAAAATATGCCTAACTATTCCCCACTTTTTATTCAATAGATATGTGGCACATAGTAAAGGGCAAACAGAAACGCTGTCAATTTTGTTTAATTTAATTTTGCAATGATCTACATACAGTTCCTTTGCTCAGGAATTTCAAATAACTGTACCAGTGTTGCTAGTGGCTGCAAGCCATTTATTTATCAAATTTATAATCTACTTTTATCAAAAAATTTATTATTTGCTTTAGGTGTAGATGGTGGAGAGACCAGGACTTGCTGCACATTTCTTTGCAAATGTGTATAACCTAACCTAACAAAAAGTCAATTTTTGTTTTATGCTCTTTTTTCGAGACTGAAAAATGAGAGTATACAAGTCTTTTCTCAGCTTGCTCTGCTCTGACATGCAATTTGAGCAAATTGTTATTTGTTTCAAGCTGCTCATTGCTGTCAATCTGAGGAGTATGCAGTCTACCATCTTAGAGCAAAATGCCTAACTAGTCCTCACTTATCATTCAGTAGATATGTAGGGTTTAGTAAAGGGCAAACAGAAATGTTTTTATTTTTGTTTAATTCTGCTATGATTCGACATACATTTCTTGATGTATTGCTTTTTATTTGCAGCTTGAAAAGAATTTGTAACAATTTTGCAGCGAGTACTGGTGGCTGCAATTCATATTCATGAATATCTATTAAATTTGTCACCTACTGTGCCCCAAAATTTTATTTTTAGCTTGTGGTGTAGATGGTGTAGACTATAGGACTTGCTACACATTTGCTCGCTTTGCTGCACATTTGTGTACAACCTAGGTTAGATATTTGTTTAACTTTTTTTTTTACTCTTTTTTTCAAGATTGAAAATTAAGAGTATTCAAGTCCTTAGCCTGCTCTGCTTTGACATGCAGTTTGAGCAAATTGTTATTTGTTTCATGCTGCTCATTGCAGTCTGTATGTAGAGTGATATGTGCAGGCAATACACCATCTTAGAGGAAATTGCTTAACCTTTTCCCTCTTATCTTTCTATGGATAATTTGGGCTTTGGAAAGAGCAAATAACAACCCTGCAATCTACTTTACAATTTCTGTTGTGCAATTCAATGCAAATTTTATACCTAAAACATTCTTTCTTATAGTATCCAGATGGATATGAAGAAATGATGGCAGCAAAAGAAGCGGCCGCCAAAGAAGCAGCTGCCAAAGCATCTTCAGAAGATGGTGTTAAACCTAAGAAAAGGGGAAGAAAGAGTGTTCTCGCGGAGTCAACAACTGACAACCCTAACACTAAAAAGGCTAAGATGGCTGCTTATGAATTGGACGAAGAAACCGTGTCCAAAATTGAGGAAGACTCTCTAAATGAAAAGTTATGGGAAGCTTGTAAAAAGGTTTTGGCTGAAGGAAAAATGGTTAGTTTAATCAATGTGAGTAATGGAACAATTAAATTATGATAAATGTCTTCAAACCCTTTTTTCTTCTCAGAAATTCCTTGCTGAGGTACAGCAGCAATTTATGTGCATTTGCTGCCAGGAAGTTGTATTTGATCCAGTGACAACCGATTGTCATCACAACATCTGCAAGGTTTGTACTTCGGACTATTTGTTTATTTTTTATATCCCTTTTTCTTAAACTGACATGACTGACACTTAATCTATTGTTTTCAGGCCTGCTTGAAGCGGTCATTTTCTGCCCAAGTTCACAATTGTCCAAGCTGTAGACATGAACTAGGTAAAGATTTTGAACTAGCAGTAAATGATAAGCTTGCTGGCACATTACTTCATCTATTCCCGGGTTATGAAGTCGGCCGGTAAACTCATGATGTATTTTATCAAACATTATTCCTTAATGGAATCTTTTTGAACCATATTGCCTATTTTGCCTAGTTTTTAATTAATTTGAATGGAATAACTTTTCAATGCTGTAATCTTGTTTTACAAGAAGGATAATGTATAAGCATGAATTTTAGCTCTAGACATGATCTTTTGTACCTTCAATAGTGCTTTAATTTTCTTCTATTACATTCCTGTGATAATGTGATAATAACTACAGTGTGGAAATTTTGAACTTGATTTTGTTAAAAGTTTGTTATGAGCACAATAAGGTACCATTCGAAAGAAACGATATTTTTAACTTAATGATTTGATGTGATTTATGTGTGGGTATAAAACACCTGTTAGAATTTGTTCCGATGATTTCAATGTATTGCTTCTTGCCTCTGTTTATTATGTGCAATAAATTATATTTGTGGGTGCCAACTTGAGCTGATTAGTTAGTGCCTGAAATCCTATGGAGTTTGAGATATGTACTGTCGTCCAAGTTGCATAGTTGCACGGGGACTGTACCATGTACACCAGAGGTACTGATGAGCTTCAGACTGTCGCTTGCTGGAGGACTACGTGGCTGACAGGCGGTCGCCTGTGGCTACTGTGCTACGTCGCGGGACCTGTTTACAAGCTTTTGAGGTCTCATTGGCCGACCGGGGCCGGGGCGGTCGAGTCCGAAAACGCCGCTCGCGAGTCTCCCCGTTCCGCTCGTGGTTCGCGAGGACGGCGCGCTCGCGGCCGCCTTGCCGTTTCGGAGGCATCCTGGCGGGCGGGTGCGGCCCTCTGTGAGCCTGGTCCCTTCGATGCGGGCGTGCCGAGGCTGATCCGCGGGTGGGCCGGCGCGGGGCCGGCGGTGTTCAGGTGCTCGAGGGTGGCGTTGGCGTGGTGGAGCGGGGCTTCCCTCCGACAGCTCCTGCTGCACCCGGACCGCGGGTGCTCCCGCTCCGCCCGGCCGGACACGGCGTGGACGCACTCGGAACGAGCAGGGTCAGGGCCACGCCACGCGCCGCCAACAAACGCGTCGCCTCGGACGGATGGGGGCGGTGGGGGCGATGGCAAGCAGGGGGCCAGCGGGCCCTGATGGGGGACGGGCCGGACGGGCCGGCGAGAGACGACAGCGTCGCGACGCACAGCGGCACAGCCCAGCGGCGTCGAGTGTTCTGGAGACGGAGCCCGACCAGCAGCACGCCCACAGCAGCACCTCATCACTCAGTGGTCGTCGCGGGCACGGCCGAGCAGCAGCAGCAGCAGCAGCGGGTCCGCGTCGCAGCGCAGCCGCGCAGGACATGGCGTAGGAGGCCGCGGCGAGCAACCCCGGGAGATATGGGACACTGCCGTCGCCAACATGAAGAAGGTGTGCTCGTCGATTGCGCACAGCTTGGACCTGGCGCGCAACGGCTTCGGCGAGAAGCTCAACTCGGACGTGATGAAGCTGCCGTTCACCGTCAGGTACAGTGGAGTCCCCGGCCCGGCCCTTAGTCCGCCTGACCAGGCGGCGCGTGTCCTGTTCGTCGCCCCCGGCCCGGCTGGGTCCGGCCGGTCACTAATTGCATTGACAGCCGGGCTAGTCTAGTGAGCGGCTAGTCCCCGCCCCGCCACCTCGGCGCACGCGGGCTGCTAACGGCCGCCAGCCCAGCACCACGTGGGATCCTTTGGATCGGCCCGCTCCGTCCGTTTTTTCTCAGATTTCAACAGAGTGATCGTTGAGCTCAGCGCCTGCAAGACTCTGGGTAGGCCAGCCCGCTGTACACACGTGCACTGCAGGCACGATGTTGCCTACCTACCAGGCGCTATGGGAGTTCGTAGTGGCTGAACTTCGCGAGGTTCGTAAATCGTCCGAATGACGGACGTTCTTTCTGGATGACCCCTTTCACTCTGCCCGCTACGCCCCCCCCCCCCCCGCGGGGCATTCGGATCCGCCCCTCAATTTGGCGCACTGTATGCATTATGGTGCAGCAATGGGCCGTGACGTCAGCGCCGCAGCAAGCGCTAACAAGGAGAACCTCCCTCCCCTCCCCCGCATCGGCGCGAGAGAGCCACGCATGATCCGCTCCTCCCCTTTTGCCCGCCCGGCCTGTAGAAGCGCGCTGATTGGTCCAGGACTTAATCCAGGACAGACTCGGCCCTAGCCCGGCCCCGGCCGCAGAACGTCCACTGCACATGCATAGGGGTCACAGCACAGGCGGACCGACCGACGGGACGGTCGGTCGGTCGCACGGCCTCGGACGGTACGAGGGCCGCGCGACGCCGAGTCGGCGGGGGCGGTGGCGGGGCGGGCAGCACGCCCGGAGGGTAGGCCTCCCACTGGAGCGCTTCGCACCGGAGTGCGGCGGGCTGGCCCACCCTGCACCCCGCGCGCGCGGCGCACTGCGCTGCTGTTCTTCCCGACCGAAGCGGGGACATGACCCCGAAATACTTGAGGTTGCATTATGTCAACACGTGTCCTGAGAGGACGTGCGGCCCTGCCCGCCCCCCTCCATCGCAGTGCAGCCCTATGGCCGCCGCAGACCACCGCGACGCCCCGCCGCCCCGCCACCACGGGACGGCATTAATTCCGAGGATCGTATTCCCCGGTGTGTCCCGCTCCCGCGCCGCTCCCGCCGCGCCCCCGACCCGACGCCAGTTTGACGCCACGCGACGCCCTCGTCGGCCGAGTGCCGGGCGGTGCCGGGCGGGGCATGGCTTCAGTCGTTGTACCTGTGCTGCCCTAGCCTGCTCGGCGCTCCTCGGTGCGTCTGGGTGCCCTGCTGCGCGCGCACCCGCGCCTCCACCCCGCGTGGACACCGAGCAGTGCCCCTAGACCACCACCGGCGTCCACGGCCCCGGAGAAGGGAAGGGGAGGGCGCGATCCCGACAGGCAGGCAAGACACATCGACTCGGAGATGGCGGTGATCCCGCTTGAGCTTCAGCAGCGTTCCCGACAGTTTTAGAGCTTTCGTGTCGTGGCCGTCAGTTCGACCAAAGCTCCTGACCGCCAGCCAAGGAGCGGCAGTGTGCATTCTTCCTCCCCAACGAACCATATTCTCTACACCGCGCGGCAAATCTCTGCCAATAGGTCTGCTAGTCGCCCCGGCCCGGACAGAGACACGGCCACCTTCGTCTTCTAATCCACTTCATGATCCCCCTCTCTTCCTCTGCCCGCAGCGCCATGTCGGAGGCCGTGATCCCCACGTCGGTGGCGGCCTCGGCCACCCCGGTGGCGCTCACCGTCAGCCCGGACACCGTCCCGCCGCCGGACATCAACCCGACACCCAGCACGTCGCCGTTTGTCGTCACGCCCGTCGACGCCGACGTGTTCAGGTCCATCGTGAAGCCCCACCGGTAAGTCGTGCAGGGCCGCGAGGATTATCATAGGCACATGTGACTGTGGAAGGAAAAAGTTATTCCGAAAAGAGGAAAAAGGTGCCCGTACGTCAATTGAAGAGATTATGACATACGGCAAGCCGTCGCGAAAAGACAAATCCGCTCTTAGCTGACAAGTGGTTACGATAAATTCGTATCACCTACGAATCAATCATCTTTGCCGAACAGGAAAACGCGAGATTGCATTTTCAATGCGGACACCACCAAAATCGATGTGAGTGGGATAGTTGTCATTTGAGCACTATATAACAACAAACAGTTTCGAAACGTCACTAAATGCTTTCGAGTTCGAATCAGATGTTCCACTGCTCGGGATAGAAAATGTTCTGCCTTAGGATGGAGTCAGTTCTTCACTTTCATCAGTCGCTCCTCGGTCCTGTTGGTTGGCCTCCCGCTCTGGCGCCGCTGCCGCTCTGCGCGCTCGCACGAACCTCTGCTCATGCTTGGTTTAGTCCCGCCTGACGCCAGGCGGGCTAGCAACCCAACCGGCAGGGCTGTGCTGATGGGCTGGGAGGATGCAGAGGCGTCGCCGGGCGCCAGTGACGACTCTTCTGCACCGCCGGGAGAAAGGACAGGGACGACTCGATATAATTCACCATTATCGACGAAAGCTGGGGAAGTGTGTCGGTAGCCGTCGGGGGAGGGAGTGTTGGATCGAATAGGACGGGAGGTCCATGACCGGCGTTGGGGAAATGGACATTGTTCGCATCGACTCAATGCATTTTCAAAGCAATTTCAAAAAAGTGTGTCGTTTGATGCCACCCTTCTCCTTTCCGCGAGCAGAGAGAGGGGGAGGGAGGAAGGGGGCTTAACGGCGACCGTCGCAGGTAAACGATAACGCCCGGCGCGTCATGACGGCGTCCCTAATCGCGTGCGCGTCGCATGGCGTCGGCGTCGGCGCGCTCACAACCAGGCGCGGAGCCGCGGCGTGCACCTCAAGCAGGGCGGGCTGGAGCAGCACCAGCGCGGCGGCCGGAGCGCACAGCGGAGCGCGCGGCCACCATGGCTCACGGCTCACAGGTACCGCGGGGGCCTCCGCAGGGACAGGGACACTTACTTTACTTTAAATTCAAACGGGGTAATTCCCCCCTCCTCCTTGGGTAAATGGGCCTTCCCTCCCCTCGGCTGCGGCACTGCCGCCCGCGCGGGGTCGACTCGGCCGACTCACATAAACTCCCGTCAGGGAGGAGGCGAGGCGAGGCAGTTGCGCAGACTGCAAACGGATGTGTAGTGGCGGGGAGGGGCGTGGCGGGGCAGGGACCGTTAGGTAGGTTAGGGCCGAACCGCGCCCGGGCGGGGCGGGGCGGGGCGGGGCGGGGGCACCAGCAGGCCAGGCCGAGCAGGGCGCGCTGGGCGGGCGCGACGTGTATTGAGCCGTACGGTTGAGTGACTCCGGACGGGACGCTTCACACCGGTGTGCCCGGCCCGGGCAGCGACGCCCCTGCTGCCGCCCTCGCCGTAGACCCCCCTCCCCCCTCTCCCCCTCACTCTCCCCCCTCACTCTCCCCCCTACCTTCCCTCTCCCTCTCCTCGCCGCCAAGGCCGCGAAGCCTGCAGTACAGTATTTGGCAGGGAGCAGGGCGGGACGGGGGTCCGCGCGTGTCCGGGAGAGGATTTGCAGTTAGAGAGAGCGTCATTTCATTAACTTGTGAAATTAGTACAGAAAGGATTGCACCAGAGCGAGTGTCAGGGTGCGGTGTTGTGCCGGGCCGGCTGCCTACGTACAGACCAAGGCCGAATAACACGCAGGACGGGGATGGGGTGGATGGGCTGGGGGAGAGGGGGGGGGGTACTTAGTCGCGGTGGTGGTGGCGGCAGGGCCGAGTTAGATGCAAGCCGCTAAAACTGTTCCCTGCTCCCTCCTGCCCCTCTCATGTCCCACCCAACGGACAACGTAGACGCCATTATGATTGCCCCCTTTAACAGGTCAGCATGAGCAGCAGACACACGAAGCTGTTGTCGCGGCGGGAGCGGCGCTCGGTCGGGCGGCGAGTGCGGGCCGGGGCGCGGGCCGCGTGATTTACACGAACACGTCCAAACCGAGTCGCTCGCCGATAAAACACATATACACTGACGGGCCCGCCGCGGGCCACGACCGGCCAAGACGTCATCGACGCGATGCTTGTTCTTGGAATCGGTACGCCTTCGAACGGCCGCGCCGCGCCACGACACATACCGTGCTCGCGCGCGTTCACCTGAGGGGGGTGGGGGG